AATAACAACTAATATCTTTTTCTGAAATAAAATAGGTTCTGGAAAAACAAAAGCCTATGAGTCATTGCAAATTGCCATGACACATTTGAAAGGTAAAATATCACCAGCCGGCTCATCTATTTGAAGCTCCAAAAGATTGCTCATATCGATTATATTTCCTGAGTGATTGATTAATCAGTCTTACGTCAACATGACACAAACTGCAGTACAGAGAAGCGCCACGATCGACATGTTGTGGTATCGACATAATTGTCAATGATTACGAGTAATTAAACAGAGTCTTTTACAGTTTATTTAAAAGAAATCTCGTCGTAATTGAAATTTTTTATCAAAAAATCCCAGTTTTTGACTTTTTCGAAATGTGTGTAAGGAAGCAACTATAGTGATCACACTCTTCAAATATGGCAGCATTTTTTACAAGATATTCAGAAAGCAAAGACAATTCGTGAAGATTCCAATATTCCTTCCCGAATAAACAGAAACCAGAAACAAGTAAGCTAGAAAAAATAGTAAAAAGACTTGCAGAATGTTTCAGGATAGTTCTATAGCTGCATACATTACCAGAACAGTACTGTAAAAGACGAATGTAGTCAGCCACTTTACAGTTTATTTCCTGCATTATTATTCCGAGACCTTTTATCGGTATCTCACTTCGATTTCAGTTGATCATCACTGTCATCTGATAGCAGTTAATGTTCCTTTTGTTCTTCCATATCATGTTATTTATTTTATTTGGTAGTTCGAAAATTTTGTTTTCAGACTTATTATATTGCGCAACTTACAATTAATGCCGCAACAGGACGATTTACCTCGTAGCAATACACGTAGTCGTCTATCAGGTCGTTCGTCACGTCTTAGGTCCAGCGGTGCAAACGGTGTTAACGGTCATGTGCATGAAAATGGTCAGCCATCTCTAGATGCAAGGCAACGCGGCTATTACTCAGAACTTGCAACAGTCAATCCAGAATTAGAATTCGATGTATATATTATCTAGAAAGTGTGATAGTTGAACCCTATACACGCTTTTTTTTTCTCTTTTTCAGTTATCAAGATCAGCCCCAACAGTGCAAGATGATCTACTACGAGAAACATTTCGAGTATCGAATACTGCTCGAGGTATGATACGGGGAGAAGACTATCTAAGTAGTGAGTTTATAGAGCGCTGAAACAGGCATGAATAAAGGCACGAAAATTAAAGCTTAATTATCCATAACTTATAACTCGAATACCCTAGACAAAATCCTTTGGACTTCATATCTATTTCCTACTACGATCTTATAGGATCTTAACGTTAAGATTGTAATAGGAAATAAGTAGGAAGTGTACAGGATTTTGTCTAAGAGTGAATCATTGCATTTTCTCGTTAGAGTCCTATTCGGATCCTAGCAAATCCTACGAATTTCGAGTATCTCGGGTTTCATTAGGATTCTATAGGATTTTGCTGGGGTCCTACTTAAAAGTAAACGAATTCCTGAAAGGATCCTGGCGGGATTTTTCTAAGATCCTGTCAAAAGACGTATAGATTTCTTACTAGTGTACTATTTTTTTTGTCCATTCCAGCTAGTATATTTCAATTGTATGGAAATGATATACAACAGTATTTACAAAAGCAAGATGAATTTACTACTGAACTCAAACGAAGTCAGTTGTATTCTGAGCGAGCAGTTGAACCGAAAGTATTTTTACCGTTTTATAATGCTCCTTATACACTACCACGAAAAGTTGAAATAGAAAGGTATAAAAAATATTTGTTTTATCAACAAACCCATTAAAAAATGTTTAATGTTTTCTTTCAGACGAAAACGTCTTTACTTATCGTTAGATGTTGAAACATTACTTCAAGAGAGAGGTATCATTACATCAGAACTAATGCCAAAATATATTCCAGCTGACAAAGTTGTAACGTTGAATTTACCAAATCAAGATCCAGCACCATTTGCGCCGTTATTACCATTACATTATTTTGATGATACCGACTATGATATATGGACACCCGAATCTTGGCTAAGTTTAGCTCGAGACGAGAAAACTGGTTTACAAAAACCTCTACCGGGTGTTGCTTTACTTCCGAATGTTTCATCATCAAACCTATGTTAGTATAAGTTATTATTCTATTCATAGTATTACTTACAATTATTTTTCAGTGAATGTCAAAGATCCAAATCTTCAATATAGTTGGAAAAACGTTAGTGTCTATGCTTATGATAATGAAACAAACATGTGGCTTGTTCAACGAGATGATGAAGAACATAATGTATTTGATATGTATCGACCGGCTAAGAAAAGTCGAAAACAGGAAGAAAATGGTGACTCCAAAACGAACGGACATATGAATGGTGAAGTGTAACACACTAGAATTTGTAATTTGACTTCTTGTTTCTTTTATTTATGTATAGGAGAAAAAGATCATTATAATGATATCAATCGCGAGCGTTATTGGATACCTCGAATACAATTACATTTTCTAGCTGAAGATCCTCGAAAGTTTGCTGATCGTGTCGCAAAAGCATTTCAAGATCGAAAACGAGCGGAAGCAGAATTACGAACGAGTTTATATATTGATTGTATGCCAATGGATGGAATTGGCAAGTTGGATGATGAAAGAGTAAAACGAATTCAAGAATTTGCGAAAACAAACATGATAGCCAAAACATTGTAAGTCGTACAGAGTAAAAAAAAGATCTACAGATACATATTTTGTCTTTTTTTTTCTAGTAAAGACGAATATACTGGACCAATAGTCGAAGAAGTAAATGTTGATTATGCTCGTACAATGAATTCAATGATATTTGAAGAAGTGACACAAGCTGATCCCGTGTCATTTGCGTTTGTTACATTACCACAGAAATCAAAACGTAGAGTGCCCAAGACTGGTTGCGTTGATATACCAGAATATTCATTTAATGAAGTATTCGATCAATTTAAATTTATTTCCCTGTTGACATCAAAACCAGCTATTGATGCGTTAAAATTGGTTCGAACAGAATGTGATTATGTTATTAATAATTTAAGTTTATTACAAAAAAATATTCCAAAACATATCAAATTAGATGAATTCGAAGCAATGCAACTGAATCAAACATCAACCGTATGTGTTTCTTAATTTCTCTGTCTAAATGAACGTTCTCATGACCATTAATTTGTATTTTTTCTTATTTCAGACACACATGTATTTGACAGATACGTGGAAAAATAATCTTCGTCAAGGAATTAAAACAAAATTCATTGATGTTGGACGTGGATGGTAGGTTTTGCCGTAGCTGGAGTGAACATCTAGTAAATTTTTTTCCACTGTTCTAGGTATAATATAAATGAGTCCGATTATCATATTTATAAAGTATCTAAATTAAAAAAATTTATCGAACGTGTTAAATATATGATGCAAGATACTTTGAGATTTCTTGTACAAGATTCATGTCAAAATTATGTCAAAATGTTAACTGAAGCATGTACGCCAATAATGGGTTTAAATGAAAATTTTGAATGGTCGAAAAATGATCTGATCAATAGTCCATACAAGTAGGAACCAACTGTTTGTATATTCAATCTTCCTAACCATCATACTCTTAATTTATATTAAGACCACCAAAAAATCCGTTATTTCATTTGGATCTAACCATTGATCAAGTTGGACCACGTTATATAACACCTTATGAAAGTTTTCCAAATATAATTATTGGTGCATTTGAACGTGCTATTACGCAAACACAAGCAATACCTCAAATAGAAAAAGTTTGTTAATTTTTCTTGCTTTAAATTTAATATTCGTCATTTATTTATTTTCTACTCAAGGATGTTATGGAAAATATATTTTGGGGTGGAGAGACAATGCGATTGGAATCAGTCGCTTTACAAGAAGAAAAAGTTATGGAATGGAAAGAAACATTGCAAAAATCAATCGAACAATCATTGATACCATTGCGAGCATACGCAGATGGTATGTTCAGATTACTTTTCGATAATCTTTTTCTATATCTTTAATAATCTTAGCATATGAACCATACGTTGCATTAATGAACTTAAATATTGATCAATATATTAAGTAAGCAGACATAAAATTTGTATTTTAGTCTATCTTACTGCTCCATTTCTTTTTTTAGAGATTTTGAAAAAACTGAAAAGTCTATTGAAGAAGTGCGCAATGAGATTCTAATGCATATAAAAGAGAAAGACAAATTGGAGAAAAACATACCAGTTTCAGTTGTTATTGGACCATATTATGTGTTTGCTCAGAAATTACGAGAAGCACTCTCAACAAAACGTAAAACATTGGTGGAAGCTCTATTAATTAGTCAAGCACGTAAAGCACGAATAAAAACTGAAGAGGTAAGCTATTACTTAATAAGTATATAGAATTTATAGATAAAATATTTTTTTTACACTATTTAGTTAAATGATTCATTTCGTGATGTGCAACGAAAGTTATATGAAAAAGCTAATACCGCAGAAGATCTAGCTGAACATCGTGAATGGATGAAAAGTGTACCAGAATTATTGGACGATAAAAAGGATGATATGCAAAAAATATTAGATGAATTTGGCTTATTAGACGAATTTCATTGTAATCTATCGAATGAAGATTTTTCGTTTAAGTAAGTATTACTAGATCTTCCAATAAACTTAAACTAGATATTCATTTTCTCTTAGATATGGTCTTATTGCATGGCCATGGAAAATTCGAACGTTTTTGGAACAAATCGAAGAACAACACAAAGAAGACGAAGAAAGATTTAAAAAATTACAAGTTCAAGATACAGCTGCATTGAACGACAAAATGGATCAATTAACAGTACGTATTGGATAGTCTGTTATTGTGAAACAAAATATCTTTCATTTGTATAATTTATAGATGAGTGTCGCCGGTTTATCAGGTCATACATCGATTGAACGTGCTCACGAAGTGGCTAATGAATGTCGTAAATTAAACAAAGCATTGAAAGAATGTCAAGAATCAGCAGCAACATTTAATAATCGAGAACGTTTACTTGGATTACCTGTCACTAATGTAAGTTCGTTTCTGTTTATTTTTATATAGTCCACTAATTTATTCTTTATTAAAGTATGAAAAATTGAACAAATTAATCAAAGATTTTGAACCATTGTAAGTATTTATTCGACTTCTATCTACTGTCAATATATCCATACGTGTTTTTATCATCTTTTAGCCGTGTTCTATGGTCAACAGCATCAGAGTAAGTAGACAACGTTGTAAAAATTGAATAGGATAACTATATGATGTTTATTTTAGTTGGATTCGTTCGTACGATAGGTAACGTGATCATCAAGTTTTACTTTAACTCTCTTTTGAGTGAAATGTCATTTAGTTGGATGAACGATCCAATTATTTCTGTGAATGCCGAAGATATCGAGAAAAACGTGACGGAAATGTACAAAAATATGCATAAATCGATAAAAATATTTCAAGACAATGAGGGTAAGTTTAATTTTAATTTTAGAACTCATTCTATGATCGATAGAGACAGCATGACATTTGTCGCTGATCTGACTTTTTATTTAGCATCATTACTGATTATTGCCCGAGTTTTTGATCCAGAAATGAAAGATTTGAAAGGTCTTTCAAAATCGAACATGACATTTCGTATTTTACTATGTTCTAAAACCACAACCTTGCATGAATAATATAAAACTCCCCTAAATGCATGAATTTTGTTTCGTTTTGTGATTGTTTTCGTGAAAAATCAATGTTTGAGAGCAGGAGAGTTTCTTGTATATAGCTGTTTAAATCTATTTTATGTAAAGAATTAAGCAGATGACGACACAAGATCAAGCTTTTTTAATGTTTAATCGTGTACAGTACCGTCTGTAACCAGAGCCTATTGGCGATGTTAATGAGACTATACTGCAGAGTTCCTTTTTTATTAAACAAACGTACCAGTGTGTGAAAAAATTGCCTAACTTTTGATTTTTATTGCGAACAAACCGCCGAAAAAGCAAAACCGGATGTCCAATATTCAGTTCAAGATCAATAAAACGATCTATAGCGACAAAAATCGAAGTAGTGAATTTTGAGCAACCCTGTTGCTTTATGATCTAGAAAAAAAAATATGTATTTAATTACTAAAACAAAATAACTTACCGCCGAATTTTGATCATGAATGGAGCTTCCTAAGAATTAAAAGGAAAAAATACAAAAACTGATGTGAGAATTTTACGCGCGGCTTTTTAGCGATCATTTTACTGACACTATTGACTGTGGCACTTAATCAAGTAGCTCTGAAAATCAACTCACAAAATCGAGAAAAAAGTTTGATGCTCTGAGACGAGACAGAAAGTCTAACAATATATGTCATTTCTTCGTCGTATCATACCTGTATGTAAACGTCTAGCAGAGACTTTTGGTGTCGTATAGTTAATTAATCAATTGCTGATAAATGGTACGAACGAAGTTTCAGATTCGGTGATTCTCATAATATTCATCATTATAATAGCATGTTTTTGTTGTTTCGTGTCAATATCGAATTTTTCGTTGTGACTATTGCTGTTTAATTAATCACAGACTTTAAATTGAACATCTATAATTTAGGAATTCAACAAATAGCTCTCACTGTTAAGTCAGATATTGAAGATTTTAAACCAAAAATTCCGTTGATTCAGGCACTTGTAAGATTCAAAAATATCTGCATATGATTGGAAAGTTACCTAAATTTCTTCTTCTTCAATTTCAGAGAAATCCTGGTATGAGGAATCGACATTGGGAAGAGGTAAGTGGAATTATAAAAACTGATCTAATCTGTTATCCTTTTTTGATTTAACGCTTTTTAGCTTTCTGAATTGGTAAACATGCCGATACGTCCAAAAAAGGAATTAACATTTTCAAAATGTTTGGATATGGGTTTACAAAAACATATCGAATCGATATCGAAAGTAGCTGAAAAAGCTGGCAAAGAATATTCGATTGAACAACAATTGGATAAAATGGAAAATGATTGGAAATCTGTTAAATTTGAAGTGTTACCATATAAAACTACGGGCACATTTATCATAAAAACGTCTGAAGAAATTAGTCAAATGTTAGATGATCATATTGTTGCTACACAATCAATGTCATTCTCACCATTTAAAAAAGCATTTGAAGAACGTATTGCAGCGTGGGAAAATAAATTAAAAATAACTCAAGTATATAATCATTTTAAAGAAAGCCATGAGTTTTTATGACATATTATTTTTAAAATTTAGGAAGTTTTGGATGAATGGTTAGCATGTCAACGTTCGTGGCTTTATTTAGAGCCCATATTTTCATCAGAAGATATTATACGTCAATTACCAGTTGAAAGTAAACGATATCAAACTATGGAACGTATATGGAGAAAAGTAATGAAACAAGCAAAAGATAATCCGGAAGTGATCACATTATGTCCAGAATCACGTAAGTAAATAACTGAAGATTGATTGTGCATTAAAAATATTAAAATATTTACACAAGCTTACTCATAGTCCAGATGCATTGTTAGTAAAAATATATTCTACAAATGTTGTTTATTACAGGTTTGCGTGATAATTTACGAGAAGCAAATAAACTCTTGGTATGCTGCTATAATGTTAAGTACATTATAGGTACATTGTTATATTCGTTTTTTTTTTGTTTCATTTTAGGAACAAGTACAAAAAGGTTTAAGTGAATATTTAGAAACAAAACGCATGGCATTTCCTCGATTTTATTTTCTATCCGATGATGAATTGTTACAAATATTATCACAGACAAAAGATCCGAAAGCTGTACAACCTCATTTACGAAAATGTTTTGAAAATATTAACAAAGTAATAATTTATTAATAATTTTTAATGATCACAAAAAATTCAATTCATCTTTTTCAAGGTCCATTTTGAAGATGATATGCGTATTAGTAAAATGTATTCGGCTGAAAATGAAGAAGTAGAATTTCGAAAAGAAATTTATCCTGTTGGAAATGTTGAAGATTGGATGAGTGAAATTGAACGCATTATGAGAGAAACATTAAGACAAATAATTAGAGATTCGTTACAAGACTATTTGACGGTATGTTGAATAAAAAATTTTATTATAAACATTTATGAATATTACTCTATTTTATAGCGGCCACGAAAAAAATGGGTGCAGTATTGGCCTGGTAAGCAGATTTAAAATTTTAACAGAGTTCTTGTTTCTTGTAAAAGTATAATATTTGTCAATTTTAGGTCAGGTTGTCATTGCGGGATCACAGGTATATTGGACGAAGCAAGTATCCGAAGCACTTGAACGTAAAGATATTCGAATTTATCATGAACAACAATTGCGAGAATTAGATGAATTAAGAGAATTAGTTCGTAGTGATTTAACAGATAATGCACGTGAAACGTTAAAAGCACTTATTGTGATTGAAGTACATGCCAGAGATGTTGTGATTAATCTACTTGAAGAAAAAGTACAAAATGTTAATGATTTTGAATGGATATCACAATTAAGGTATGATAAGTTATAGAGCAGAGCGTTTTAATAAGTTGAATTTATTCTATCTTTCAGATATTATTGGACTGACGATCATCTATATATTCGCGCTGTTAATGCAGAATTTCGTTATGGTTATGAATATTTGGGAAATACGCCACGTTTAGTTATAACACCATTAACAGATCGTTGTTATTTAACATTAACTGGTGCACTACATCTTAAATTTGGTGGAGCACCCGCAGGACCTGCTGGTAAGTCGATTTGATGACATAATAAAGATGGATATAGACAATGAATTTAAAATTTATTTTGTTTCAAGGAACGGGAAAAACAGAAACAACAAAAGTATGTAGTAATGATAATCTGCACTTCAAGGAATAAATGCACAACATATGACATTTCAATTAAGGATCTCGCTAAAGCTATGGCCGTGCAATGTGTCGTATTCAACTGTTCGGATCAACTTGATTTTATGGTAAATGACATTGTTTTCTCATAGATTTGTGACACCTAACTATGATGAGGTGTTTTTTAGGCCATGGGCAAATTTTTCAAAGGTTTAGCAAGGTAAATACTAAAAGCGTACTATTTTTAGAGAATAAATGAAATATTATATTTCCTCCCCTTAAGTGGTGGAAGTTGGGCTTGTCTTGACGAATTCAATCGTATTCACATTGAAGTATTGTCTGTTATTGTCTCGCAGCTATCAGCAATCCAACGAGCGGTTGCTATTCGGGTATATAAGCAACACTGAGATTTGCTCCATTAAAAATACATAATAACATAGGGAATATATTCCTCTAGTTTAAAAAAATTTGATTACTATGCTGTTGATTATCATTGTATCTATGTAAAGATAATGTCTACTTTATCTACTTTATTTACTCGCTCTGTTAGAAATCATATCTTTTGCTTTCTCAGTGATCTTTTTTTAAGAAGGGTATGGGGATATAGACTTTACGTATTACATGTTCCTTCCTCTTTTTTTATCAACGTTATCTGTAAATTAGTTTAGAAACAACTGACTGCTCGTAGTCCTATATATAGTTAAAAGACAGTTACAATCTTCCATCGTTTAAACATTTTTCTTTTTAATGCTTAAAGCTCGGGTGCCTGGGCTTGTTTCGATGAATTCAATCGAATTGATATTGAAGTATTATCGGTTGTTGCTCAACAAATTACTGTTATTCAACAAGCTCAATTTCAAAGGGTATACATTTTTGAGTATAATTCAAACACGTTTTTCAAAGAGTTTTATCATTATCTGTTAAAAACAAAAACCTCAATTGCTTATTGGTGACGACACTCTAACACATTCTGATCTTAACCAGCACTAGTCACATTAATCCAATAACTTTTTCACAGTATTTCTTCTTCACCCTCTATGAAACTTGCTAAACATAACACCAGTTGTTTGTTTGTTTTTTTATTGTATTAGACAAGCACTTTTTCTTGCTCGAGTTTGAAACAGTGATAATATGCGTGTATTATTCTGACTTGTTAGTTGCGGATGTTGGGCTTGTTTGGATGAATTTAATCGTATTCACATCGAAGTATTATCTGTTATTGCAACCCAAATTTTGACAATTCAAATGGTTCTTCGTGCTCATGTATTTAATACTTTGCTTATAGCCTATTTGGCTATCATTAAAAATTATAATTTACTAATTTTTTTTGTGCATTTCTTTTTTGCTAATTTATCGCTTGCTTATTCTTTTCTTTTATGTCTACCAACTATCGAGACGTTTTATCTCTGTTGAAATATACAACTGTTTTCTCATCTGACTTTAGGCTGAACGTTTCATGTTCGAGGGTGTCGAAATTGTTCTCAAACAGTCTTGGTAAGCATATTTTAAACGTATTCTTTACGTTTATAATACATTGAATTTTTTTTAAATAATTTTTTAGTGCTGTTTTCATAACAATGAATCCAGGATACGCTGGAAGAACCGAACTACCTGATAATCTAAAAGCATTGTTTCGTCCAGTTGGTAATTATTTTGTTTCATTTGTATGATACATCAATTGAGTGTATTTTTCCCTCTTTTTTCTAGCTATGATGGTTCCTGATTATGCCCTAATCGCCGAAAATTCGTTGTTTTCATTTGGTTTTTCTGATGCTAAAGCATTAGCAAAGAAAATTGTTCAAACATTTAAACTTTCATCTGAACAATTGAGTGCTCAAGTATGTGTGCAAAAATATTGATTTTGCTTCGATCTAATGATCAATTATATATAGGATCATTATGATTTTGGTATGAGAGCAGTAAAAAGTGTAATATCAGCAGCTGGCAATCTCAAACGACAATATGCAACGATGAATGAAGTATGTTCTCTAGTTTAGAAACTGTCATATTTTTTAATCTATATCACTTCCGTTCATGTTAATAGGAACTTATATGTCTGCGAGCTATTCGAGATGTAAATGTGCCCAAATTTCTTCAAGATGATCTTAAACTGTTTACCGGTATTGTTTCAGATTTATTTCCAAAAATAAAGTATGTTTACCGAAAAAATATTTTATAATAGTAATATAATTCATCATTTTTATTATTTTGTAGAGAAGAACCAATTGATTACGATATACTTGAAGAAGGTTTAAGTTTTGCTTGCAAACAACTTAATTTGAAAGATGTACCAGGATTCGTACTAAAATGTATTCAGTTATTTGAAACAACAATTGTTCGTCATGGTAAGTTAGTGAACGATGTGTTAATATGCTATGTATTGAAATATTATTGCATTTAAAGGACTCATGCTAGTTGGTCCAACAGGTATGCTGAATAATTAAATAATGAATAATAATAATAACAACTAATATCTTTTTCTGAAATAAAATAGGTTCTGGAAAAACAAAAGCCTATGAGTCATTGCAAATTGCCATGACACATTTGAAAGGTAAAATATCACCAGCCGGCTCACCATTTAAACCAGTGCATACATCCGTACTCAATCCTAAAAGTATCACTATGGGTCAATTGTATGGACAGTTTGATGAATTAACTCATGAATGGTAAATACTGAAACAAAAAATATTTGATATTTTTTACGTTAAAACGTGCTAATTGTGTTCAGGACCGATGGAATACTCTCGACACTGATGCGTCTAGGTGTTGCAGCTGAAAATGATGATAAACGTTGGTATTTATTTGATGGACCAGTTGATGCAGTTTGGATTGAAAATATGAATACAGTATTAGATGATAATAAAAAATTATGTCTGAGTAGTGGTGAAATTATCAAAATGACAGATGTAAGTCTTTTTTATCTCAATACAAATGGCACATGTAACATTGAATATCTTGTTTGATAGGCAATGACAATGATGTTCGAAGTTGCAGATCTTTCACAAGCTTCACCAGCGACAGTTAGTCGTTGTGGTATGGTCTATCTTGAACCATCGATTCTTGGTAAGTAGACTATTCTAGTCACAATATAATTTATTAACAGAATTTGTATCTAACATATAGGTTTACAACCTTTTGTTGAATGTTGGTTAAGAAAATTACCAGATCCCGTTTTCAAATATTATGATCAACTCAATAAATTATTTGAGACATATTTGGAGGTATTTAAAGTTATTTTTTTGAGATACATATCAATGAATTAGAGTATCAAATTGTGTATTTTAGCCATCAATCAAATTTATTCGTAAAAATGTCAAAGAAATTATCCCAACATACGATTCAAATTTAACATTTAGTCTATTGAAAATGTTAGATTGTTTCGTACAACCATTTCGACCAAGAGAAGTAAGAGATTTAATATTCTTGATTTGCATTGTTTCATTTGTTCAAATATGAAAATCTATCTTGGTGAATGATGAGAAGTATTAAAAAAAACATGAACATAGCTTTTCTTATTAGATATTTTCATAAACATTGTGATACTTGACGAAATGATTGATAGAATTTTTGAAAAATCGTATGCAAAGTTTTTTACGATTTAAATAATGGACTGTAACGGCCAAACATAGAAATCTGAAATATACAAGAACTTTTTTGCAATTGTGTAATTTTTTAACGCATACAAGGCTGAATGATTGATACTATTAGGTTTTACATACAATTTATTCTCTTATATCACCATATGATGGTACATTTGTTTGAGCATCTTTTATTTCGTTCTATATAGAAAGGCCAACGACAAGGAAGAGTAAGTACTCCCAGTAATGTTAAGCGTCGAATTTAGTTCGATATTTATGCTTGAATGCTCTTTGGATTTGGCTTTGCTATGTTATAATATAACCGGACTATTTTTGATCATATAGTCCAATCTGAATTTGATAATTTAAAAAATTATCTTTTGATAATGCTTTTTGCTTGCTTTTAGAATAATAATAATAATAATAAAATATATGTGTGACTTTAACTAAAATATTTTGCTTGCTAGCTTTCAATTTAATACTAACTGTAGAATTATCTTGTATTTTATTGAATAATATATGATGATTATGCTATATTTTAGTCTGATAAACCGGCCACAACTGAGGCACTTGAACGTTTAAACGAATTCATCGAATCATGGTTTCTTTTTTCGTTGATATGGTCTGTCGGTGCGACGTGTGATAATGACGGTAGACGAAAATTTTCAGAATGGTTAAGAAAAAAATTTGAACATGAAACGGTAACTATTCAAATGTAGAACTAAATTAGAATAGCAATGATGACATTCAACTTCTTGTTTTTTAGATAAAATTGCCGATACCGAATGAGGGTCTTGTTTATGATTACGTTTTGGATGATGGTGGAATTTTTAGTTCAGGAGAAGAAGGCAAGAGCGAAGAAGAAGAAGATGCATCAAAAAAACGTCAAGTACTTACTCTCAAAACAAAACAAAACATCTGTCTTTAGTATTTCTTGTAACAATGTGACATTTTTTTCTTAGATCCGTTGGAGACATTGGCTGCAAGGTTTACCACCGTATCAAATAGCTCCCGATGCAAAATATAGTGATATTCTTGTGCCAACAATTGATAATGTTCGTAATGCATATGTTACTGAAATGTTGTTACGTATGGATAAACCCGTTTTATGTGTTGGTCCAACTGGTACAAGTAAAACATTAACAGTTGTCGATAAATTAATGCGTTCAATGCCAAAAGAATTTAGTCCAGAATTTATTGTCTTTTCGGCTAAAACAAATGTTAATCAAACACAAGATTTAATTGATTCAAAACTGGATAAAAGGTATTTATTTTATAGATTAAGCAATATTAAGTCAAATAGATAAACTTTCATCAAGAATTGTACACACATTTTCGAATTTTAACGTTTAGTTATTGATGCTTTTACAATAATTTTAGACGTCGTGGAATATTTGGTCCTCCGCTTGGCAAGGTGTTCATCTTTTTCATCGATGATTTAAATATGCCTGCTTTGGAAACGTATGGTTCTCAGGTAGGCGGATTAGAGAATCTTTTCTTTGATTTCAACTAGCTAGTTTATTCATACTCTAAGATATTCATTTTTGAAAATACTACTTTTACTAGTAATTTATACCACTCTGTCATATTTTAGCCACCCATTGAACTGATTCGTCAGTATATGGATTTTAAAGGCTGGTAAGTAACAGAGACAATGTTAGTCCTATTAAATTTATCTCGAAATAATTATTTATTTTCAAAGGTATGATCGTAAAGTAGTTGGTGAATTTCGTAATTTGGTAGATATCAATTTTATATGTGCAATGGGTCCTCCAGGAGGCGGTCGAAATCCTGTGTCACCAAGATTAACTCGACACTTCAACTTTTTGTCATTTACTGAATTAGAAAATGATAGTATGTTAAAAATATTTTCAACAATATTCGATTGGTGGACAAGTACGTAATCGTTGGTTTTCTTTCAATAATAAATCTAGTCATCTGAGAAAATTAGATCATCTAATAGACAAATACTTCTCGAAACTCGAAATTCATCTTAATGATGTACGACGTATCATGAATGAAGAGACGTTAAAAATTTTAAAAAATGGGCACCTTAGTCCACTTTCCCTGGAAAACTCCCTAGGCAATCCCCGAAAAAACTCTGCAGGAAGTTACTAATGGGATTCTGTAGGGATTTCTAAGGGAGTCACTATAAAAAATCACTACCCTAGTCCACTTTCTTTCTTTCTTCCACTCCCTGAAAATTAGGGACTCCACAGTGATTTTATAGGGAGAGAATTCCGGGGATTTCACAGTTATTAATGACTCCCCGGAGTTTTTTTTCGCTGACGCCCTGAGGACTCACGAGGGATTTCGCATTTTTTTCGGAGATTTTACCAGGAAAACTGGACTAGATTAGACAATTTTTCTGTTAAAAAACATGCGGTTTAAAGTCTCTTTCGCATTTAAGCTTCCGTTTGATATTTCTATTGCGTTTTTTATTTTAATTTATGAAGATATTTATAAGATATAATGAAATGATTTAGCAGTACAAGATAGAGAAATATATTGCTGAAAAATGCGGGAAATGAAGCAACTATCTTCCCGCTTACCATTGGTTAGAGATTAAGATGGAAACTTTGAGTTTTATACTTTGCATAATGCCAGTAATTATTTATTTAAATTTCTTTTTTATTCTTTCTAGAAGCATCCGATATATCACAAGCAAATAGTGAAAAATTAATATTAACATCAATTCAAGTTTATAAAACAGTGTGCACACAGTTACTTCCTACACCAAACAAATCTCATTACACGTTCAATTTGCGCGATTTATCCAAAGTATTTCAAGGAATGTTAATGGTGGAAGCAAAAAAAATTGATGTACGTATTTTTTTAGTTTTTTATACAACCATTTTGAAGTAGATTTGTATTTCTTATATATATAGAGTGTAGAAAAACTGCTCCGTTTATGGTATCATGAAAAGTATGTAATTATTTTTTTGATTATAAATACAAATAATAAAACGTGTAATTCATTTGTTTTTTAGTTGTCGCGTGTTTCAAGATCGCTTAATTAATGATGAAGATCGTGGTTGGTTTCGAAATTTATTAGGTGAACGTATTAAAACAGATTTTGAACTGGAGTCTGAGTCTCTCATCCAAGAGCCCGTAATATTTGGTGATTTTCTTTCTCATGGTGGTGAAAAGGCCTATCAAGAAATTACGGATGTAGCATTGGTATGTTATCCTAAATATATATGTACTTTAACTATCTCATATAAATGAAATAACGTTTTAGATGAAAAAACGTTTGGACGAATATCTTGAAGAGTATAATCAAGTGAATGTAGCTAAAATGAATCTGGTTTTATTTATGGATGCGATGAGACATGTAGCGAAGGTGAGAAACAGAATTTTGTAATCATTTTTAAATAGTCTTAATGAATATTAACGGCTATTCTAACTCTTATGACTATCGTAAGGTGTTTTCATATACTTTCGTTTCTGCACATATATGTGTGCTTTTTTTTACATATTTTTATTAGGGAGAAAGTGAAAAAAGATTTCTGCAGTAAGATGCACGTAATTCAAAAAGTTCTAGTAAAATTTATGTTCGAACATATTATACACCATTGGATAGAGGACTTCGAGCTGATCACGAATAAATGGGCCTCGATTTTTTCTGACACTTTTTCCGGTTGAAAAATCAAAATACCGAAAAAACACGGAAAAACGTAAGGTTTCAAAAAAAATGGTCGTACTTCTTTTGCTTTAAGGTTTCAGTGATAGGTTTGCAAAATTGGGTACCGTCTTTGAGCCATACACATTACAAAAATTTTTGTGAATAAACGTTTGGTTCTAAAAATGTTTTCAAGACCATTTCCTAATTCAGTTTTAGATGCTGAATCCAGAAAGTTTTGTTTCGAGCATTGAAAGCCTAACACAAAAGAACTACGGCCATTTTTTTGAAACCTTACGTTTTTCCGTGTTTTGACACCCTTCAGTATTTTGATTTTTCAACCGGAAAAAGTGTCAGAAAAAATCGAGGCCCATTTATTCGTGATCAGCTCGAAGTTCTCTATCCAACGGTGTATAATATGTTCAAAAATAAATTCCACTAGAGCTTTGAATTATGTTTATCTTACGAAAAATGAAGTTTCTTCAAGAATTCTAAATGGAAAACTATTCTTTTTCCATCAAAAAATGAAATTGCTTCTTTGAATTGTAGTTCTTTTTTAATAGTTGTTCTGTGAACTCTACGCAAAGTATCAATAAGAAAATATCTTAAATATTAAATTTCTTTTTTCTGTTTCTTGAGGATCTAAGTTACATATGTTCAGAAACTCTGTCTACTGTCAAGGATAAAGGAGAAAAGTTGATTGTCGAAGACAAATTCATTTTCCTCTTCGTTTCTTGTATTCTTGATAGAATGTTTATGCTTTTAGATAACGAGAATTATCAGACAACCGTTGGGTAATGCGTTGCTGTTGGGTGTAGGCGGATCGGGACGTCAATCACTAACAAAACTGGCTGCTTTCATGTATGTGTATCGAATTTATGTTTAGAAACAACTTTTTTAAACAGACTAATTTTGACTTATTTAGAGCTGAATATGAATTACGGTCAATTCAATTATCTAAAAGTTATGGTCTTGCTGAATGGAAAGAAGATTTAAAAAAGTTTATGTTGCATGCGGGCTTAAGAAATACACCGACTGTATTTTTATTCAGTGATACACAAGTAAATTACTTTTAATTATCAATGACTTTGCATTATTAATCTCCTTTCTGCTATTTTAAGATTAAAAGTGAATCATTTTTGGAAGATTTAAATAATATATTAAATTCTGGTGATGTACCTAATATCTATGTACTGGATGAATTAGAACAAATTTTCACGGCTATGAAACCTATTGTTAGCGAAGCTGGTTTACAACCAACGAAAACAAATCTCTATTCTGCTTATACAAAACGTGTACGACAAAATTTACATACAGTCGTATGTATGAGTCCGATGGGTGAAGTATTTCGAGCTCGTTTAAGACAATTTCCTGCATTAGTCAACTGTTGTACAATAGATTGGTTTTCAGAATGGCCTAAAGATGCATTAGAATCTGTGGCTGAAACATACTTAAATAATATGCCGACATTAGATGCAAGCGATGAAATTGTGGGAGGATTGGTCAGTAATAAACATTTATTTTTGTTGATAAAGACAAATAATTTTAGTAATAAAATTTAGGTTAAACTTTGTCAAGAAATTCATCAGACGGTTGCTCTTATGACAAAAAAATATCGAGATGAATTAAGTCGACATAATTATGTTACACCGACAAGTTATCTAGAATTATTAAATATATTTTCAAAAATATTTGGAAAGAAAAAAGATGAACTTGTTTTGGCTAAAAAACGAACAAAAACTGGTTTAGATAAGGTACGTATGTATAGAGAATAATATAATTTATGATGATGATGATTTTTTGTTTTCTGTTCACAGTTATTGGCAACAGAAAAAGATGTTAGTAAATTACGTATTGAATTGAATGAAATGCTTCCATTATTGGATCAAGCTGTGAATGAAACAAACGATACAATGGCTAAAATAGCAGATGATACAGCGAGTACCGAAGTAATTAAACGTAAAGTACAAACAGAAGAAGAACAAGTAAAAAAGAAAGTTATTGAAACAAAAGCTATTGCGGCAGAAGCACAAGATCGTCTTAATGAAGCAATGCCGGCACTTGAAGCAGCATTACAAAGTTTAGAAGTATTAAGCAAAAATGATATAAACGAAGTGAGAGCCATGCAACGGCCACCTGCAGGTGTTAGACTAACAATGGAAGCTGTTTGCATTCTTAAACAAGTCGAACCAATTAAAGGTGAGAGAGTGATTAATCTTTAACTATCATTTTACCTTTTTTTTTTTCTTCTTTGTTCTTCTAGAGCCAGTACCTGGTCAACCCGGAAAGAAACAGGACAACTTTTGGGATCCAGGACGTCAGGTTTAATATAAAAATATCAAATGAAATAAAAACAAAAAAATATCATTGGATTTTTCTTTTAGCTATTATCTGATCCAGGAAAATTTTTAGAAAGTTTAAGAAATTATGATAAAGAAAATATTCCTGAACCTGTTATACAAAAATTACAAAAATATATTGATAATGCAGAATTTGATCCAATAAAAATTGAAAAGGTAAATAACAATTTTGTTTTATATTTTTATAAAAATTTATGATTATTTAAAAAATTATTTTTTAAGGCATCAAAAGCTTGTAAGTCAATTTGTCAATGGTGTCGTGCCATGTACACATTTTATATGATTAATAAAGAAGTATTGCCAAAAAAAGAAGCAAAAGAAATGGCCGAAAAAGAATTGGAAGTTATTCGTGAAATTCTTGCACAAAAAATATCAGAATTAAAAAAATTAGAAGATGGTCTTCGAACATTACAAGTAAAATACGAAGATGCAGTACGAAAAAAAAATGAATATGAAAATAAAGTTGAAGAATGTAATGGACGTATAATACGAGCAGAAAGATTAATTACCGGATTAGGAGATGAAAAAATACGTTGGCAAGAAAATGTTGCACAATTAGATGATTATTTAGCTAATGTTATTGGCGATGTACTTGTAGCAAGTGGTTTTGTAGCATATCTAGGACCGTTTACAGTAAGTACAAGAAAAACAAAAATATTCTTAAAAGATGTATATGAAAGATGTGTGTCTATGTATTTTCTAGACAGAATATCGTGATAATATGGTAAAAGAATGGATTACAAAATTAAGTGCCTATCAAATTCCTCATTCAGCTAATCCAGAAGTTATACGTGTATTAGGAGATGCGGTTAAAATAAGAAATTGGCAATTAGCTGGTTTACCAAAGGATAATTTATCAGTACAAAATGGTGTCATTGTACAATATTCAAATCGTTGGTCATTATTTATTGATCCTCAGGGTCAAGCAAATAAATGGATTAAAAATATGGTTAGTAGAAGAAAAAAAAAATTGCGATTATTATTTAACTATTTAAAATAAAAAATTATTTATTTTATTTTTGAATATTTTTTAGGAAAAAAATACGGGTCTCGATGTTATGAAACTATCCGATCGTGATTATTTACGTACACTAGAAAATTCAATTCGATTTGGTAAACCGTGTCTATTGGAAAATGTTGGGACAGATCTTGATCCAGCTTTAGAACCTGTTCTTCTTCGACAAGTAAAACATATCTCATTTTCATAGTCTAAGACGTCTTAATCACTCTCTCTTCTTTTCTAGACTTATCGACAAAGTGGTAGTACAGTCATAAAACTTGGCGATGCTATTATCCCATATCATGATGATTTTCGATTTTATATCACTACAAAATTACCGAATCCTCATTATACACCAGAAGTATCGGTTAAAGTAACAATGGTTAATTTTACACTATCTCCAAGGTATAAATATTATTTATTTATTTAATTATTGATTTTTAAAATAATAATTTAATTATAAATTTTTAGTGGTCTTGAAGATCAAATGTTGGCACGCGTTGTAGCCGAAGAACGTCCTGATCTTGAAGAAATGAAAAATACATTAATTGTATCAAATGCAACAATGAGAAATGAATTAAAAGCATTAGAAGATACAATATTAGAAAAATTAAGTACATCTGAAAATCCTGTAGATGATATTGAATTAATTAATGCACTTGAAGCATCAAAAGCAAAATCAACAGAAATTAAAGTATAAAAAATAAGTTTATTTTACTTTTATTTATTTATTTATATTTTATTTCTCTTCAAGGTAAAAATGCAAGCAGCAGAACAAACTGAAAAAGATATTGATGCAACACGTAGTGAATATGTACCAGTAGCTGTAAATACACAAATATTATTTTTTTGCGTATCAGATTTGGCTAATGTTGATCCTATGTATCAATATTCTCTTGAATGGTTTACAAATATATTTTTATCCAGTGTTCAAAGTGCTCCACGTGCAGGTATAAATTTTGACTAAGAAAAATTAAAAATTTATAAATATTATAAATATTTTTTATTTGTATCTTTAGATGTACTAGATAAACGTATTAAAAATATAAATGAATATTTTACATTTAATTTATATTGTAATGTTTGTCGAAGTTTATTTGAAAAACATAAACTATTATTTGCATTTTTGTTAACCGTACGAATATTGATGAATCAACAAAGAATACAAATGGTAAGTGAAATATTGTTTGATATCATGTTCTTCTGTCTATAGAATAATTTATTAATTTTAAATGACTCTATTTTCTTTTCATCAGATTATTCTCAAATATTATCCAACATTTATCTTCAAAATCTCTAATTTGTTTCGTTTTTGATCACGTTATGAGTACACGATTTTAATAACTAGATTATAAGTAAAAGAGTAAAAAAAATAAGTTTGTTGAAATGTCCCCATTATTTGACAAATAACATCATGTTCATAAACAATAAGATAATTAGATAGATTAAACAATATCCATTTCTACAACAATAATTTATTAATGATAGAAAACAATCATGTTTTTTTTAATATAAATAGCATAAAATAGCGAATAGTGGATAATGTCGAGATTATTAATATAGATAATGGATAATAGGAAGGAGAAAGCATTTTTCTACTTAAAAGCAGCACCATGAGATATCTACGAATATAGCACAAAAAAACTGATTAAATTTTAATTTTACGCAGTTCTCTTATGTATTAGCGTGTCTTTGTGAGAAAACATATAATCGTTGTTGTTAGTCTAAAAAAAAGAAGAGAACAATCCTTTAAGAATCTATGTTATTGTCTGAATGTTGTCCGTTATGTTCGCTATCTATCTGAAATAGAGATGAATGTCATACTAGAGATCTTTAAATGTATAACATCTTTTGAACTATTACCATTCAATACAAATATATAAAGAACTATTTTCATCCTACACGAGGAATGCACAAATTTCAAGTGGATGTTTATAACGACCACTATTTTCTGCTATTCAGAGTTTCCAATGTCTACCAAATTTTAGTATAAGACAAACGCAGTTTCGTTTCCTATATTTCTGTTAGTGGCCTTATAATTATTGAATCGGCCTAAAAGTGCGCTAGAATTGGTCAACTTTTCAGAAAAACAGAGTTTGTCTCTTATAAACATCCATTTGGAACTGGTGCATTTGAAATTAGTGCCGTACACACACACGCGTACTCAATAATCGTTTTTAAATACAATAATGACTGATTCTGACGAGTATGAATGAAACTAACTAGGCGGAAATGTTAAATAAAAGGAAGTGTCATTATCTTCAACGATTTTCTCTATCCAAAAAGTACTTTAATTGTAACATAATAATCAGAACATATATTGTAAAATATTCTCTAATATGATTATCAAAACAACATTTAATTATTCAATTAGTGTAGAATCAATTTTAAAATAAAAAATTTTGTTAAGCGAAAAAGAAAAATATCGCAAAATTTTTTCAAAATTTTTGATTGTTCAGATAGGTAAAGGTGTAATCGATTCAAATAGATCGTTTTGTAGAACAAAGGAGTTCTTTGTAATATGAGAACAACACTCAGACAATGAAGTAGATCGTTGGAGGATTCTTTTCTCTCTGTTTCATTCAATGAGACAGGAAGTATGTCATATTACGCTGAAAATGATCTACTTTTTAAGTGTTGAAAATAACTTCTGTTTTATATAATATTTTCAAATGATTAGTCTTGCTTGAACAAAGAATTCTTCTACAGTATAAGACGATATCTTTCAGCTCTCTACAATATTTCCTTTAACCCTTTATGCCTCACAGCTGATTACGTAAGGCAAACTAGAAACTCTTGTCCCTTTGTCTAGTCCGACTGAAAATTTTTTTTCTTATTAATACTTGCTAGCTTATGATGTCAACTTACACTGGAAAATAATTCGTTTTTTGATCCAACGCATCATCACCTTGCAGTAGTAATTCTACAATATCCACTAATGTCCATCCCAGTGACGATATTGGGTTAAAAGTCATAAACATTTTATCCAAGTGTCCTTTATTTAAAGGAATTCTTTGTAGTACAACGTTTCTTCATCAACTCTTGACTCTATCTAATTTAGTTACACTACGACTTCTCCTTTCTAAACCTTTATTCGATTGAACTCAATATTTTACCATAGATACTTTGAATAATATCTTAGATCTATCCAAGCAAACATCATCACCTATGAGAAAACTCCAGATATATTTCGTCTGTAATCGGATAGTTAAATCGATAGTTACAACTGAGGAGAAATCTAACAATCGTCCGATTACTAGATTTTCACTATCATTAACAATTCATTGCTATCGAGTAGAAATCTAGTAATTTAGATGACTCGGGTAATACAAGATTTTTTTTTATGCTTGGGTATGGTAAAATGGTCACCTTCTGCAGATAAACATTTTTTTTAAGGATAGTCGTAATGTAAATGTAAGTCCGTAATAAAATTCAATTACTAATATTAATTCAAAATATCAGTTCTCTTAATCATCGCATTACTGAGCTCGTATGACAAAAACATGAGATATTTTTTATTAAAAAATAATCATCTATGTACAAAATAAAACATACAAAGATACAAAAAAAGAAAAAAAGAAAGAAAAAAAAAATCAGTACCGGACATATATCATTTTCATAAAATAATGGAAAAAACCAATAAAAAAATTATTATTTCTAATAATAAAATAATTTGGCGAATAGTCAATACATTACAAAATCTCATCAGTTTTTTTCTTTTTTGACGTCACCGCTCATTAGCAATTAACTTTGCTCTTTTGATTAGTTTACTCAATTTTTATTAATAGAAAAACGAAGTTTGATTCCTTTGAACTTTGATTATAGACTCGTTTGACGATTTGAATTTCCTGTTGACATTGAATCGTCTTTTTTCTTCTGTTTATCTACTGGTACCATTTTTGTTACTATTTTATTTGATTTTAATCTTTTGTCACATATCATTGTATTGTCAGTATAATTTTGTTTTTTCCGTTTATTATTTGTTTTTTTTATAGCTTCTTCTTTAAAACTATTAAAACTATGATTTCTACTATTTAATTTTGATAAATGTTTTGCAGATGAACTTGATGATGATGATGAAAAAAATATTCGATGATAATGATGTTGTTTTTGAATACAACAACGAAATGTTAATTTTAATGTTTTTAAAAATTTTTGATTAAATGCACAATAGAAAAAAAAATTAATTGAATAATTTAACATTAACATTATATTTGTTATTAATTTTTGTATACGAAAACCAACTGTATAATAAAATGGATATTTTTTTTCTGTTAATTTAATAACTAAATTTGGATAACTAATAATTGTAAATGTATTACAAATAAGAAATACTAAAACAATACTAGCAAGTGTTTTTGTTAAACGTTGTTCATCTCTAATACGTTTACGTTGAATAAAATGATTTGTTGGTGTACCAGTTAAACTTGTTTGTTGTTGATTTGAAACAAGTTCCGATAATGTAAAACGATTTGAACGTTGTACACGTTGAATTAATTTTAAATTAAGATATAATAATATAATAAATGGTAATATTTGATATAATACAAATATACAATAATAATATATATCTTGAAAACGATTAAATGATGCATGTGTACGAACAATTATACAATAACATTGACCAGTATGATTTCTATTTATAGAATTTTCAATAATAAATGGATATGTTGAACAATTATTTGAATCAAATAAATGACTTGAATTCATTTTTGATATTATATAATCACTTGTAAAACGTGGTATATCAATAATTCCACAAATAATTAATATAATAACAATAACATTTCTTGCATAACGTGATTTACAAAAACTTTGTACTTTTAATGGATATGTTGTAAATAAATATCTTTCAATTGTTAATGCTAATGTAATCATAATTGATACATGACCAAAATAATTTGCCATTTGCATATAAATAATTTCAAATTTTTGAAATTTATAAAATATATTTTCATGATGAATATAATCACCACGTGTTATTGTAAATGGTGAAATACACATTAATGTTAACATATCAGCTAATGCTAAACCTGTTAAATATGTATAAGGTGATTCTTTTAAACGTCGATTTAATAATACACATAAATTTAATATATTACATACAATACCAAATATACATATTGTCAATATAACATATCTATAACCAATTATTTCAATATTATGTAATGCATCTGAACTTAATGATGAATTATTCACACAAGGATTAGTCATTTTTTTATAAAAAATTAATTTCAAATTTTTTTAATAAAATAAATCATTTCATTCTGAAAATATCAAATAATATATAATAATAATGCGTTACTATCACGAGTTTTTTTTTATGAAAATAAATCTTAGAGTAGATCTTCAATCTTTATTTATAGAACAATAAGAAAACATTAACAACACACAGGAAAAAATGTCTCTTTCTCTATATATTTTTCTCTCTATTTTTCTTTCTCTTTTAAAATAGATTCATAAACTTTTCTAAACTAGTTTGAAGTCTAATAATAAGCAACGAGTTAACGTACACTAGAAAAATGTCTATATTAATTATTATTTTTTTTATCAAAAAAATGTTTATATTACATATTAGTGTACACAAAAAAAACAAAAAAAAAAGCATTTTTAAAAATAAATACAATTAGAAAATTTAGAGTTCATAACAAAATAAATTTTTTCAGGTGATAAATCTATTTTTTTTTATAGAGAATGATTCTAATATACAAGAATTTCTTTTCTCATCAATCATATTGCATGTTTAAACTTTGAAATTAACAGTATATTTACACATTATCTTTCTTTTTATAACACGCATCATATGATTGTCATGTTTAAGTATTAATTATGAATTTTTTGCAGGATACAATTGATCTTTCTAAGCACTTTATTATCTATGTTGACTCACAAATTTAAACTAATATTGAAAATTCTTTTCTTTTTTTTTTATTTTATTTTTAGTCAGAATATCGATTCTTTTTGGCTGGTGGCTCTAGTCGTCCAGTGGATGTTCCTAATCCATCACCCGAATGGGTAACAGAACGTATTTGGAGTGAAATATTAACATTAGAATCATTACCAGCTTTTGAAAATTTTGCCAAAACATTTCGTTCAAATTTACATGAACTCAAGCAAGTTTTCGATAGTACAGCACCAGAAAAGTAAGAAAAAATTGAATTAATTTGTTTTTATAATTGATAGAAAAATATTTATAAAATGATTTTCTCGAAAGAAACCGCTAAGACTCAAAGGTACACTGTATAATTGTATTAGAGTATATAAAAAAAAACATGTTAAAATATCCTATAAAATTAAACATTTCCTCTCTTTCGTCAATGATATTTATTTGAAGAGTCAAATTCTTACCAATCAAGAGTAGGGGTGAAACAGTTCCAGTTCCTATAGTTCTTAAGAACTGATCACCAGTTTAGTTCTTGTTGAACGGAAACTGGTATCAGTTCTTTTCAAGAATTCAAAATAAAATAAAACCGATGTAGCTAGTTATATTGACTTGGTTTAGTCAACTAAACACAACATTTATCTCTGGCGCACTACACAAGATCAATGTAAGTACGTTCATCGATTTTATTTTGATTTTAATTTTTTGAAAAGAACTGAACTGGAACTGTCTCAATCCTAATCAAGAGTTCAAGATAGGAATATTTCTTTCTCATTTTTAGCTCATTAGAAGTTAAATGAATTAAATAATTAAGAAGATAAGCAGAAACTGTATACCAACCTTTCCTTCAAAATAAATTCTATAAAATATTGTCTATTTTTTTCATACGTTTTATTTTAAACTTTTAAAAATGTTCTTTGTACAACAGAACGAAAGAATACCTTTTAAGTAAACTTATTTCTTTGTACAAATAACAGTTATATTCTAGATTTTTTTTCCCCATCTATGTAGTCTATAGCAAATGCAAACAAGAAAAGTTCCTGTTATTAAAAATCAAAAAAAAAAAATTTTATTCCGAATGTCATTGTAATCGTTTTTTCTTCTTCTCCCAAACATATTGTACTGTCATTTTTGTCTGTCATCCGTGTCAATAAATGAGAGAGAGAGAGAAAGAATAGAAAACTCTCTTTCACATTAACTATTAATATAACTTACATAAATTTTTTTTACTTTTGAGATGTAAATTAGATGAACAACAGTAGAATAGATAGTATAACGGAGATTTTTCTTTTATAGAAGTCGGGTCAATAGTGAAGTTAATACATTTCTCCTCGAGCTTCCAATAATGATAGATCGGACCATTATCTAACTTTTAGTATTCTGGAAAAGAAAGAAAGAACATTTATTTATTCTAATAAAACACTTCGAGAAAAGTTTATGATAACATTCTAACATTTTTTTACTAGTTTAATTGAGATGTATAGATAATCTAGTATTTGTAATAAATTTCAAAAATTTGAATAATTTATAAAATAATAGAGAAAAAGAAAAATTTATATTATTTAAATATAAAAATTATAAAAATTAAATTTTTTTCTATGATAAAGATAAAAAAGAAAAAAATAACGTATACGTACTTTGTTAATAAATTTGTTACTACTGGTATATATATTCGTTGATAATATATTTTATATATATGATCAAATGCATAGTATCGATTCATAATAATATATTTTTATCTATGAGAAAATGTAGAATAATATGTGGAAATAATAAATTTCTTTTATATCAAGTAAGAGATTAGAAAATGTCCTTTTTTGAAGAGAAAAAAAAGAAGAGACGCGAAGGAGGAAATGTATGTATATGGAAAGAAGAAGAAGAAAAACAAATTTTTGTCATTCGAAATATTTAATCAATGTGTCAAAATGTTGTGTACAAACTAGAGAATTCTTCATTCAGAATAACTGAGCAATCCATTTTATAGTACAGTAATCAACAAAATAAGTTAAGAATAACGATCTACTCAATTGTATTTTAATTATTAGTAGACGTTTCTTTTTATCTTTACAGTATTTTCTTATTTACTGTACCTTTCATCTGATCATTGAAATTAAAGATTATAAAGAATTTTAGTTACTAATTGAACGAGTCTAAACGCCTCTTTTCTCTCACGCTATTATCCGTTCTAGAACAAAAAAAAAACAACGTTTATAACTTATGAATCACTTTTGAACGAAAAGAGAGGAATACTTGCTGCGCATATATGTAAAAAAATAAGTTGCAAGTGGCTTTTTAGGTAGTTTCTGGAAAACTAGATTAGGTCATCAAAAGTTTAGGCAAAGTTATATTCATTTTTCTGATAGGAAAATAGCCCAGAATGTCTCCTTTAAAATAGGAGTCAAGCAAAATGTTGATTTTGTTTATCAAATTCCTTGGAGACATAGAACTAGTACTCGTTGACTTAAGATAACGTTGAAATCGCGTAGAACATACGTAATCGACAACGTTAAATAAATAAGAAACAGAGCCTTACGACGTTTCCAGATTGTTATTACTTAATGTTAAATAATTCACTCAAAATACATTCGATCAAGTTGAAAACTATAGCATACGATTAAATATGTCTGCTAAACGTGTTTATGGATCGAAAAAAGTAAAGAACTATTTGTTTATTCCAAGATTTAACAAAAACTCTTTCTGAATACTTCTCTATCGATATTCATCCCTCGATATCTATCTACTTTTGATTGATGAAAATAGCAAGTATTCATCTCTATTCGTTTAAAAGTTAGTCAAAAAGTTTTTTTACTGATTTTTGTTTACTGAAACGAGAAATTTCATTTATTTTTTGATCTAATATAAATAATAATGCATTTTGGTTCATTCGCATGTAAATATATCTATTATATATTTCACTTACTTTTCTAGTGCTCCACTACCAAAAGAATGGGCGGATAAACTGGATGATTTTCAAAAAATAATCTTATTAAAATGTTTAAGACCCGATAAAGTGACAAATGCCATGCAAGATTATGTATCAAAAAATTTGGGACAAAAATTTATTGAACCACAGGTATGAGTTAATCACGTATAATAATATTCTATCGTATTATTTTAATACAAACAAACAGACGTAAAATTTTTCCTCATAGAGAATGTCACATGAGACAAATTCAATAATTATATTAGGCATAACAATCAGTTTTATTTCTTATACGTGTATATGTGCCACAAATGTCTCATTGGAATCGTTTTCATATCATTGACTCGACTAGATGGATATGCGAACGTCTATGACACGAAAGAATTTTATCAATAAATCTTGTGCATATATAAAAAAGATAGTGTCAATCACCGTCTAGAGATACATCATTTTCCGTTCTATAACTATATCAAATATGATTTACTAATCCATAATGTCAAATAGTTAATGATACTCATAAATATGAAATAGAGAAAACGTAGGTAGTCAATTTAATATAAGTTTTATTATTTTTAGACAGCCGATTTACATTTGGTATTTCGAGATTCATCAGCAACAACACCACTTATATTCGTTTTATCACAAGGTACAGATCCGGCAGCTGATTTATATAAATTTGCTGAAGAAATGAAATTTTCAAAACGTCTTAATGCCATATCACTTGGTCAAGGACAGGTAAAAGACAAATAGTAGAATATACTACTAATTTAGAAATATCTTTATAACTTATACATTTTGTTTAGGGACCACGTGCTGAAGCATTAATGCGTGCGGCAATGGAAAAAGGATTTTGGGTATTTTTTCAGAATTGTCATTTATCTCCATCATGGATGCCAAGTTTGGAACGACTTGTTGAACAAGTTGATCCAGATCATGTAAGTTTATTCAATATACATATGGAGATAAATATTTCAATTTTTATCGTTAAAAACAATCATATCCCACAATAGATATTTTTTTTCTACTTACTTTATTATATTGTTTTTTTGTTTGATCTGTGATATCTAAACTAGAAATCGATTTATAAATGATTAACGTGTCTAAGAAAAAATATATAACAGAGAGCAAATGCACTTTGGGGAGCAAAAATAATATATATATATATATATATATATTAATGTAGTAAGAGAATTTTTCTTATCAATAATTATTTTTATTTTTTTAAGTACATAGGGAACGTAATGTTTGTATTTTTTCAGAGAAACAAATAAAAAGAAAAACGAGTGACATACATTATGATAAACTAGTGTATTGACGTTTTGTACATGTTATCCAGTAATTTGTTATTGTTATTTTAGGTTCATAAAGATTTTCGTTTGTGGTTAACAAGTATGCCAAGTCCACAATTTCCTGTTATGATTCTACAAAATGGATCTAAAATGACAATGGAACCCCCAAGAGGAATAAAAGCAAATCTGTTAAAATCATATTTAACATTGACTGACGATTTTCTTAATTCATGTACTGGAAAAGTATGTTTAAATTTTATGTTTAAAAAAATTAAATCTCAATATCTTATTATATAATAGACAAAAAAAAATTTATCATTATTTTGAGTATAATCTGATAAATGGGATATGAAGAATGATATTTTTAATTATTTCTCATCAATCTTGTGTAATACGTTAATATTTTAGGTTGATGAATTTAAACACTTATTATTATCATTATGTCTGTTTCATGCCGTGTTATTAGAACGTCGAAAATTTGGTCCATTAGGTTTTAATATACCGTACGAATTTACTGATGGTGATCTTCGAATTTGTATGAGTCAATTAAAAATGTTTTTAATGGAATATACTGAAACAGCATATAAGGTAAATTTATTTGAAAATATATTTAAAAAAATATTGTTTTTTCACAATATCCAATTGAAAATTAGTCATAGAATATACTCTCCTATGTAGTTCACCATTTAATGATAAACTCTTACTTTTATTTAGGTATTGAAATATACGGCCGGTGAAATCAACTATGGTAAGATTTATCTTTTCAGTTTATATCAAGAGCAATAATCTTTAAAAAATTTTTGAATGTTTTAGGTGGTCGTGTTACTGATGAGTAAGTTAATTGTTTGATTAAAAAACGTTGATTGTGTCTTCTGATATTTTATTTTCTCTAACTCAACTTTTATTGAAATATTTTAGTTGGGATCGTCGTTGTGTAATGAATGTACTTGATGATTTCTATCATGCAAAAGTAATTGATTCAAATTGGTGTTATGATGAGTCGAAAATTTATCATCAACAACCGCCAACAACCGAACATCAAGGCTACTTGGCTTACATCCGAAGTTTACCAATCAATGATACACCAGGTATCTATCTATTGCTCTCAAATTTGATTTTTATCCTTAAACATGTTGGTTTTTAGAAATATTTGGCTTACATGATAACGCCAATATCACATTTGCACAAAATGAAACATTTCGTACACTCAATGATTTGCTTGAATTACAGCCGAAAACATCAAGTGGTGGCGATGCAACAAGAGAAGAAGTATTTTTTTGAGGGGAAAAAAGTATCAAACATTTTTTAATTATCGAATCTCTTATAGACAATCGAAAAATTGGCCAAAGATATGCTTTCACGTATTCCCCAACCATTATCCAGTAAGTCAGCAAAATTTCATTGTTTTTCCAAAAGTATTTAAAAATATTTTGGGTTATTTTAGTGTCATCAGTGATGGAAAAATATCCTGTCATGTATGAACAATCAATGAATACAGTTCTTACTCAAGAAGTCATACGGTATGTATAAATACATTTTAGACAGTGCCGTGATGAGAAAAAACAGCAGATATGGAGTACGAGTTTTGGAGAAGAAGATACAAACTTTGTATATTTTTTTCATTATCCATGTGTTTTCCTCGAAACTAATTAAGAGGAATAATGAAAGGATGTTTTTTATCTCAGTTATTTCGAGGTATAAGTAGGAGGGACATAGATCACTCTACGCCTCCCTATCGATCGTCACGGGTTAATCTTAGACTAGGTATGAAATGACGAATAACGAAACGTTGAACTTCTGCATATCTTTGTTAGTTACAACAAGTTGTTGAATACAATCCATTCTACATTAAATGAGTTGCTTAAAGCACTCAAAGGTCTTGTCGTATTGTCACAATCATTGGAAGACATGTCGAAAAGTTTATATAACAATACCGTTCCATTATTATGGAGTAAAGTGGTAAGTTAAACAGTTCTTTTACATTGTCCACATCATTGTATATTATTGAATTAAATGTGTCTTTAAGGCTTATCCGTCACTAAAACCGTTAGCATCATGGGCAGCCGATTTATTGCAACGCGTTAAATTTGTACAAAATTGGGTCGATGATGGTATACCAACGGTAAGATTTGCCATTTTCTTTTGAAGTTTTAAATCTTATTTTCATTTAATTGTGACATTTGAATAAAAGAAATACTCTGAATTCTAGTTTTATAATCTGATGAGCGCTATCGATTGATGACTGAAAGTTCTTTATAATAGAATAATAAGATTTTATTAATGTTAAATCCATAAATATCGCTTGGTGACGTGATCTTGTCTTATATGCTCGTAAATGTAAATAGCATTATTTAATATGTTTGCTTTTTAGGTATTCTGGATATCTGGATTCTTCTTTCCACAAGCATTTTTAACCGGAACTCTTCAAAATTTTGCTAGAAAATATGTTGTGTCAATTGATAGCATTTCATTTGGATTCCAAGTAAGATTTTTTGCTAGTTTACTAAAAAATGTTAAATAATATTTTCCTCTTTTTATCTAAGGTATTAAAAGACACAAAATTAAGCGAACCACCACCTGATGGTTGTTATATACGAGGACTCTACGTTGAAGGCGCCAGATGGGATCATGCATTACATGTATTAGGAGAAAGTCGTCCGAAAGAATTATTTACCGAAATGCCCATTATCTGGTTACAACCAGAAGCAAATCGTTCTATCCGAACTTCTGGGATTTATATGTGTCCGGTTTATAAGACACTAACAAGAGCAGGAACACTATCTACCACTGGTCATAGTACAAATTTCGTGTTTACAATTGAGATACCAAGCAGTAAAACACAAAAACATTGGATCAAGAGGGGTGTCGCATTAATATGTGCATTAAATTATTAATATCTTTTGTTACTTGTTTTGTATATGAATAATTCCAATTTGTGCATGTGCATGCGATTATGTAGATAAATCTATTTATAATATATTTTTTTATTTTTCACATTTTTTTTTTTACTATTGTTGCAAACATTAATTTACGCTTTATTCTATTAGAATACAAGCACAAATAAATCTATTATAGTATTAAAAAACTTAAACTATCAAATAACACAAAAACAATGTTGTACTAATGCAAACTGAAATTTAAAAAAATTAGACTGCTAGTAAACTAAAAACTTACAAACCAATTTTCAGCGTTATCAAATAAAACACATTTCAATATGGTGTTAAATGAGCAAGTTTTATTATTATTTTTATGAGTCTATTTGTAACCTAAATTTTATTTTCAGCTTAGTTTATCCTCTCTCAATTCTTTTGATTGCTATGATTAGTAAGTTTATTCTTATTGATTATTTTTCGATTTTCATATAGTGAGGGAACATAACAGCATACGATCAGAACATGTACGAAAGCACAGGAACTTTATGTCAACGTCGTATGCATTAATTGAAACAAAAATGTTATTGAGAAGTCACTTTTAGCAGCTTTGGTGTAGTTGTCTAATAAAATTACTGTCACCATAGAGTTTGTTGTGACCCTAGAGATCAAATCTTATATAGGATTCCTATAGGAATCTTATGAATTTCTTAATAAGGCAGTAGATGGAAACGCGTAGAATATTGATAAGAATCTGGTGAGATTCCGATAAGATTCATATAAGAATCGTAATGACTAGTGTCAAAAATTTATGGAATTCTTATATAAGACATTTTTAAGTCAACTGCAAAATGCACTACTTGTAATCCTTTTTCTCTATAAAGATGGCATTCACATCAGGCTCTCTAAGTCGTAGAAGATAGAGCAGCTCGACAACTACTAATATGCATCAAAATTCCTTTTGTAGTTGTTCTAATAAAGCACTATAAGCAGTCACAAAAGAACTTCCTGTACAGTTACGTGCATGACTCATCATCCAATAGTCAGCGATCAAAGAAACTCGTTTCTTGATTGATCGAGAGAATATATTGTAAAAACACATTTAATGAGTTGTTACTAGCAAAATACAACTTAAAATGCTAGTAATCCTACACTGTAATCATGAATTAATTTCCAGTTTATAGAAAATCGCCCGAAAAATCAACAGGGATTTTTTGGTTTATAGAAATGATGTTGTATATAGAAGTTCACAGCATTTGACAGGTTTCCTAGTGTAGCCTAATGTAAGATTCAGATGATAGAATCCTTTTAGAAGTACACTATCCTAATAGAAATTACATGAGTTCCTATGATAAGATTACGTAGGATTTCATAGGATCCCATACGATGCAGGGTTACTCCTTCAGTCTGCATTAGATATGTTACAAACCCAAACCCAACCAAAGAATTGGGTTTGGGTTTGTGGTACGCAAGTCTAAACTTGGGTCAAAGTTGGATTTGGTATTGTGTTGGACTTGGGTTAATAAGAGCCTAGCAAGATGCTTTATTTCATGGTACTCCATGTGAAAACAGGATGTGCAGCGTTTTGTTTCATGCTGTGGATATATGTGTGCAAGACGGTAACTATAAGAACTTTATTTAAATTAGGTGAAATGTCTAAAAAAGTTGAGTTCTTTTATGTTGTTTATTTTGCGAATATCATCGTTATTTTTCAGTGTCTTAAATACATGTACAGAACAGATTTCAGCTAACAATACTTTCCCAAATTAAAAAGCCTTTATAAAAAGAATAGATTTTTGTTCTCGCCGGCAACGAATTCTTTATGCGTAGTTACTCTATGTTGTGCTTCATCATGTGTGGCAAAAAGTTACTACTGATAAGTTGCACTTGAAGAAGAAGAAGAAGAATGGTCGTTTGACAATTGACCAAGGACAAATTCACCCTCAATTACACTCAAGTGACTTGGGTTTGGGTTTGTAACAGAGCTCCTGCCGATCCACCCGACTCGATGATCCGGCCCGGGACCGATCCGCCTTGGACCAGGCTAATCGCTTTTTTGCTCGAGCAGAGCGGGCTGTCCGAGAAAAGTTTTTAGCTCGGTCGGGTCAGCGTTTTTTACGGTGCGGCCCGGCCCGAGAAATTTTAAAATTTTTCTCCATATTTTCAGTTCAATTTTGGCTATTTCCCAGTAACAATATGTTATTATTATTTAGTGAATTCTGTTGAGAAAAAAAGAGTTTGTTCACTGGTCAATTCAGGTGACTAATGATAGAAGAAGAAACAAATACACTATCTAAAGGAATTCTATCCTTTACTGAGTTTATTGTACAATAGATTCTCGAATACGTGCTGTACAATATGTATATGCTGCTGAACTGACCTTTAGCAAATTTTTTACTGCGTTTTTGCCATAACAAAATTGAATTGAGTCTAGAAAGAATTTACAGTCGGGCTCAGGCCGGGCGGTCTAGAAAAGACTATTAGTTGGACCGGGCCGGGCCAATCGATTAGCATGATGGATCGGGCAAGCCTCGACTTTTCTTGGCCCAGGCGGGCCATCAGAAATTCACCTGATTAGGAGCTCTGGTTTGTAACATACCTAGTCTGCATACAGTCAGACGCTTTAATTGACACACATAAAAGTTCGTGTGTTAACTTATTTTATCAATTCTTCTAAACTAATTATATAATCTGTCTAGCCGAATTTTTATCGGAATCTTATACGATTCTTATATTCCTTCGTATAGGAATCTTATCAATATCTTAAGCACTCCCATCGACTACCTTATATAAGATTCTTATAAGATTTCTGTAAAATCCCTATAAAATTGCCGTAAGTTCGGTCGTCTAGGGCGAATACTCAGATAATTGTTAACCATACGGTCAATTTTTTTCACTAAAAAGTTTCAGTAGTAGGCTTCTAGATCTACTACTACCTCGAGTTTAAAGTTGATTTTTGATGATAATCTCATTCCGTTCGTACCGTTGAGGGGATTAAAGATGATCAATGTTTTAAAGCTGTGTCGAAAAACTAAAGTTCCCTTTTACTCTCCATGAGATGGAAGTACTTCCGACTAGTGTATTTTTTTAAGTCCTTAAATCACCCTTTACTCGCTTCAATCTTTTACAGTTTGATGTGAGTAGAAGATCCGATAGTCTATTACAGCATAACAGACAAGTTTTTATCCCATTTGCGCGCACCGAAACTGTTCTACAATCTTTTTTGTATAGCACAGCTCGCGACTGGAACTCTCTCCCCAACACTGTAGTTATCTCGCCAACAATAAAATCTTTCAAAACCAAAATGAGGCAAAACCTACAACTGTAAAAGGGGAAAAAAATAGGATAAACAGGTGGCAATTTTTATAAGTGTTTAAAATCTTTTTTGCTTTTCTGACAACATGTTTATGTGTAGGTTAAATTTTTATATTGTAAAACTAAAATTTACTCATTTCTGTACAAAATCGCGAGGCCCCATTGTATTAAACATAAAATGGATAGACAAATGGCATAATTGCAAGAATATATGTTGTACGATCTATTCGTTTGAACTATTCATCCTCGAAAAATGACGGTACTCTTTTGCTAGATTCGTTATTTTTATATCGCAATAAAAAGTGAGGCTCTTCTAACAAACACTGATATATAAGTGTTTACGCTTTGAACGGCTGAAAAACAATCAAAAAAACCGAAATTAAAATTGAATGATATATACCCAGTAAAAGATTTATCAAATAATAATAATACATAAAATCAAGTTTCAAAGTGTAGAAATATTAAAAACTAAATAACGAACTAATCTCGATTTCAGTTGTTATCTTCTCAGAAAATATGTAGGGTCATTTTTTTTGCAGAAATCGCCCCTTTTACTTTATGAAGAGCGGGACAAGAATTCTCAGAAATGTAACGATTAGTTGAAGGATGGTAAAATGTTCAGTATTTAGAGCTTTCGTGAAAGCCATTTTATTTAACGACCGCTGGATCCCATTGAAGGACGATACGGAGGTTGTTGATTAGGACCCGGTTGGTTATTATAGTAATTTCCTTGTTGTTGACCTCCTGATGGTGGATAATTACCGCCTTGACCCTGATTATAGGGTGGTTGCTGTCCTCCATAACCGCCTTGCGAAAATTGAATTGATTCGTGTTGGCCGGTATATACACGTGCCATGAATTTCAAATATTCATTGTACGATACTAATCCGTCTTTATTTAAATCCATATTTGAAATTACACGATCAACTTCACCATCTTCAAACTGTATTCCGGCTCGTCTCAAAGACTCTTTCATTTCTTGTGGTGTAATGTAACCATTTCTATTAATGTCAAACTCCGCAAACGACTGTCTAATTTCGTCAAGTTGATCAGGACGCAACTGTTGTTCGACTGGATCACTTTGATACATCCTAATAGAACTAGAGAAAAGTATGCAAAAAATATTCAGTTATTTGTTTTTAGATTTAATAAATACTTTCTTTATTATTTGTTGAATAAAATGATATAATAACTGAGACTTGTTTTATTAGTTCGCAGGTACCTATATAATCTTTACCTTTTACAACCATTAAATCCGGAGATCTCTGAAAATCCGACGGTCATTTAGCGCATTACACCTAAGTTTTTCATCATGGTCTATAATCTTCGACTAATGTTGAATATTTTCTGAAGGTTACAGTCATTTTTGAAGGGAACGGAGTGAGTCATGCGAATTTGAAGTTTACATGACTACAGGCAAAAACCGGCGTTAATTGAAAAAATGGATCAGTTGAAGTTCCTTCGATCTGAAGATGAAAATAAATAATGTCACGATGATCAGCATAGCTGATTACCTGTGTCTCGAGTGTTTTTGAGATTCCCAAATCTTCAGATTTGGAGATAGCATAGTGTGCGGAGAACGTTTCTAGTTCTCGGACCATAAGAAATGGAAACCTGGGACTTGTCGAGAATTGTAGATCAACATCCAGGGTCTCCATTCCACTATTCGGAATCGAAAATCCCAAACTTCTTCAATAGTGAGACGGTTTTTGCAAAAAGGTTTGAAGAGGTTTACCACACGCAGATAGTATTTCGAAATTTATTTTTCCATAAACGGATAGTCCCCAGATTCTACTCTCTAAAAGTGAAAATCGCAGCTCTCTGGTTATTTTCGGTCAAAAGTTATCCAAAGAATAATGGAGTGCATTATATTTTGAAATGGATGGTAGTACTGCTGCTAGGTCGTCGGCAAGAAAATAACTTGCGCAAAAATTTAAATTAAAACTTGCCACACTGGTAGCCCATGGTCATAGTAGTACGACGGAAAAGTATGCGGTTCTAATGGTTCCCTCAACTTCGCTTCAGGTGAAATGTTCGAGTCTCAATATCTCAAGGTAGGAAAATTCATTAGAACCGCATATTTTTCCGTCGTACTACTATGACCATGGGCTACCAGTGTGGCAAGTTTGAAGTCAAAATTCAGAAGTCGGATTTTGTTCGAAATCCAAGCTCTATAAGCAAAAACTGAGTAAAGCTTCAATATCTCAGCAACAAAGTACCACGGGGATGAACCAACTTAGAGTATTTCACTACTCACTGAGATCTACAAGATACAAGTAGCCCTAGTCGAGACTCCCGGCAAAACTCCAACGGGAGTCCCAAGTTTATGAAAAACTTCAGCAGCAATCGTAAGGAATCCTGATGACTGTCGCAGGAACTTTCTAAAGTGAAAAGTCCAACATGGAGTCATGAGGAGTCCCCAAAAAATCCTTGCAGGCTTCCTGTCGAGAGTCCTGTTGGAGAAAGTCGTGCATGGACTCCTACAGAACTCCTCAGAGAGCAGAGTTTTTTTCTTATGACTCCCATAAGAGAAAGTCTGTCAAGAGTCCGTAGAAATATGTACTCCCCGGGAGTCACTCTCATACTCCCCAACCTGTGCAATCCCCGAGGAGTCCCTGCCAACTCCCCATTCACCGTTTGTTTTGCAGATAGGCAATATATAAATATAATGTAGTTCTATGATAAAATTTTAAAAATTTTCTTCTAGTACGTCAACATTAATGTGTCAACCTTCGATGGGTGATATGTGCTCCAGCGGTATCAGTGATAGTATCTGGCACTTAATTACTAATTAGTTACATGAAATTAAGAAGATGGATCAATAGACCCAGAGGGAGTCCCCAAGGACTCTCTTAAAATCCTCGAGAACTCTCCAGGAACTTCCTTAAGAATCCCATAGAACTCCTGTGGGAGTCTTGAGGAATCTCTCTTGAATCCCTTAAAAATCCTCCATGACTCCACAGAGGATCCTGCCGGGGTCCCGTGACAGGACTCCTGTAGGACTGTTTGTCCAGGACTCGTGCGGGAGATTAATCAGGAGTCTCGACTAGGGAGTACGGTTTCAAACGCGATTTATAACCTAAAGAGGTTCCCTCGTTAGCATGAAATTTGGAAAGGGGAAATTCAGAAAAAAAATTTATTTTATTTCTATTTTTAGGCGCCATTATTCTGGCGCTACTGCCAAAGTGTTTTCGCGCCTAAAAACAGATATGGGATTTGTTTTTCTTTTTTCATTCAGTCTGATTTATCTAACTTTAAAAGGAATAATTTGTAGTGGCCAACTTACTATTTCAACACTAAAGGTATCATACGAACGGGATAGGGTTTAACCAATACAAATTCAAAATGCCTAAAATTAAGCAAAGAGCTAGTCCTTTTCTAAAAAATAATGCGAAAAAGTGAAGTTTCTTGCATGAGTTCTTCAGATAAAGCTCTAATTAGAATTTTCCCGCCAATTGTGAGAGAAATAAACTCGAGCGTAAAAAAGAAACGTGAATTTGGCGCCAAATGGCTCTAATTAATTGTTTTCTTCCCGCCAGTTGTTTTACTCCCAAACCTGAATAAACCTTCCGGTTTTGTGAAAATATTCTTTATTAAATATTTATTATTTTTATCTTTATTAAAATAAAGTAGCGCCTTATTGATGAAAAATGAAAATTTCAAAAGCAGGATGAGAGCTTCCCGCCTCAAGCTCTGCTAAGATCAAATGTCCATATAGACAACTAAAATCAGTTCAGAGCAAATTCTTTTTTGTCGTAAAAATCCAGCATGCACATGACATCAAATAAGTCACGCTCATTTCTCAGAAAATTGAAACGCTTATTATAAGTAGGGTTCAAGGAAACCTGCCCAGAAAACTCATTGTATTGTCTAAGAGAATCATTTTGAGCGCTGTGAGAATGAGCACGTCCGAAGATATGAAAAAATTCACATTAGAGTGCCTTCGCGTCTGATAAGACAGAATCAGAGAGATAATTAATCTTCTGAAAATGTGCGTTGGAAAGTGCTCCCGTTTGAAACATAGCAGTGTTGACAGTCTATAAATTCACAGTTACTTATTGTGCGTGCTCTTTTCTTCTGGTTTTGTAGAGAATTTAATGAAGAACCTTTTAAGACTAAGCTCAAGTCTCTACGATGAAAACTCATCGAGATATTGACGAAATACTGAGATATCATTCTTTCTGCCGCACCCGATATATTTTTCAAAAGAGTCCTGGAAGGGTTAATTCACATTTAAGGAAAAATTCCTTGAATTGCTTTTTACTTAAACTTCTCATCTGTAAAGTGATGAATGTCATATATGAAAATATTTCAAAAAGCTTTTTCTTAAATATGTATCAAAGCATATTTAAGATCATTGATACATTTTCTAAAATTCTCAGAAATGTCTGAGCAAAAAAATACACCTTTTTCAGCATTCTACCTGTAGTAAAAATTTCAAGTCAATCCCACATCCTGTTTTAATACTGTAATAAGAAAAAAGAAGGGACGATGAGTTACTGTTTACATAAAACGAAAAGATGCAAAAATAGTAATCCTACTTGAGCCTTTAAGTTTTCGTTTTTTCAGAACTTTTCAGTATTGAGTACCTAAAAGTGTTCTCTGCTTCTAGAAAATAGAAACCACTTTACAGATGACTTTTATTTACTTTTTCATTATGAAAAGTTTCTTTTTCTAGAAGCAAATCAAAATTGAGCAATAATGTTATTCCGAACCCGTCTGTTCCGTGAAAAAATTTATGGGCTTTTTTGCCCCGTCCCGTTTGTCCCGTAATTTTTTGAAAAATTTTTTCTGCTGTGATAAACCGTAACTATTACAAGAGATGCTTAAAGTCTCAAACTCAGTTTTGCAAAAAATCCGCATGACAAAATTTAAGCCTAATTTATTTGGGTCTAAACTTAAAAGTTGCAGTATAAAAGAATGTTTTACATCCATTCACTAGCTCGGAATCGAAAGGAAAGAACTGTAAGCCTAGTTTTAGATATGGAGCATCTCCTCAAGTTTAAATCCGGAGTATTTCGCCTCTCCAGGTTAATTTTTATTAGGTATTGTAAAATTACGGTTTTGACTTGATAGTATTGGTTGGCCCAGAATAATTGGTCCTCCTTGTATTTTGTATATAATTGCTTTTCTTTTCAATTCTTAGATCTGATCGTTTTTCCAAAAGATGCGCCGTCGAATTCTCTACAAGACTTGATCAAACTTATCTCTATAACAAGTTAAGGAAAAAAATCGAATGAAGAATACTCAACGCGATGAAAAGGACCAACTTTCTAAGCTGAAATAACGTTTTGTTCCACCACTTTCATTGAGTTGGATGATGAGAAAAAGAGAATACACGCATTTTGTAACCATTGAAAAGCTCTATCAACCAGTATTGGATGCACAATGCAAAATCAATCTTGCAGCAATATAGCACCTTTTTAGCTCGGTCTTTTCTTATTTGGATGAGAAATGATACCTGTATCAGATTCAGCTGCGAAAGTTACCTTAAAGCTTTCTTCATAAATTTACCTACCGGGCAATAGCAGATTTTGGTCATATTGAGGTGAATTTTGGAATGTCAGATTTTTCAGTGCTCACTTAGATTTGAACGAACTATGAACTGCATAAGGAGAAAGAGCGCACTTTAAAGTACTCAAAAATACCTTCAGTTTTGTTTCATTGTCTTTAGCCTGTTTAAAATATTCTGAAATTTGTAAAACAATATAGCTTAGAAAATTGGTCTTTCGTCATGTTGAATATTTTTCGTTTCATCTTTCTCCTTAACCTTTTATTGAGGCAGACAAACTCTTTGTAGCGCTTTCGAATGCCGAGAGATAGATTACGGAAACTTTGAGTAATTTCCGGGATGAACCAACTTAGGGTATTTCACTACTCACTGAGGTCTACAAGATACAAGTAGTACGGTTTCAAAAGTGATTTATACCTAAAGAGATTCCCTCGTAAGTTAATATAGAATTAGTTCTAATGTATTTTGATATGTATATGAGTCTATATCCCTGAGCCTAGCAAAAGTTCGTACTTTTCGTATGAAAAGAAAACAATATCAGTTGACTATTTGCACGTCAACTGTACTGAAATTTACAAAATTTGTTATATTCGAGTTTGTTCAAATCAAAGAGACTATATTTTTAATAATAAGATAAAAGGAGTTAATGTTAATTATTGTGAATGTAGCTTCACAACAGAAAATGTTTATTTTTAAAAACCTATTAGTTTTGAAAATATTTCACCTGATATTAGTTACTGTTACGTCGATTATAATTTTATTGTATGCCATAATGTTACTTGTCTTCTCAATAGTCGTATCATTTGTTCCCAATGGTTAAGACCTTGTGGTGCGGTTTTGTAAGCATTTTTTCCATGTGAACCGAGAATTGTATGTCCAATTTCATAGACTTTGCTGTTTTGTGTTGTAATTTCAAACAATACAATTCGAATAAACGTTTCAAATAACTCTTTTCCAGTTACCATAAATGTTGATGTTTCATTAAATAATGGATTAGAATCAACTGAACGATAATAGCAGGTTTTGGTTTTTTTTACAATTTCATTTCGACGAATTAACGATATTGTTGCATAACAATCTAAATAGAACATAAAGCGTTGATTATCATATTGTTTTAGATATACGTTGATAAAGCATTATACCACTGATTAATTTTTTCTTTTGAAAAATTAAATTTCTTGCTTGTACCAATGTACAAGTTAATCTACTTGAAGTTGGATGATAACATAAACTAATTAAAACTTCGCCTGACCATGAACAAATCTACAAAGTATAAAGAAGAATATCATAAAAATATTATGAAAATAATATCAGTCAAATTACATCGTTATCATCTCGAATATTTAACCATGTTGTTAATGGTTGAAAAATATAGAGTTCGCCAACTTTGAACGCTGTTTCACCAACAATTTTCTCTATATTATTTTCACTAATACAATATAATATTGCATGAAGTGTTGTCTGAGTCAATAAACGATCATCGATTTTCCATTTCATTAGTGAATTATATTCAACATTACCACCACATTCTGTAATGGCAATCTAAAATAATTTTTATAAAAAAAATTTAAAAACTAGTAGAACTTTTATGTTAATAACCTGAGTAATTTGTTTATTCCAACTATCATTATCGAGCCATGAAACAATATACGTTCTTAATTCATTTTCATTTGGCTTCATTAGTTTCAATTCTCTTGCTTGAATAAACGTAATTTCAAGACTTTCTTCTAAACTAGAAATAAGTATCGTTTTCTATTTTTACTTGTTAACGAGATCAAATAGTTGACATATGAACGTACGCATTAAAATTGATATTTATTTGTATTTGACCACAACAAGCGACATCTAATTCTAAATCACGTAATGAGCATAGAGATTCATTTGAATTACATGTTACTGTTCGTCTCAATGTTGGCTTTTCCTGAATGCAAAGGGAATCAGTTTGACTATTATCTGCTATAAAAAAAAATAAAACAAAAAACTTTCATTTTTGTAATATTACATCAAAATTTTACTTACAAATTGTTTGATTCAAAACGATTTCATCTGTTTCATGCATTACTATAGATGAATCTGAAAGATACGTTGGTAAACTGTTATTATCTTGAATAGAATTTAGTGTGGTGAACACATTTTCTTGTCCATAAATTCTTGTTTGAACAACATCATCATTATTCAAAATGCGATTTTTTTCAATGTTTCGACAGCAATAGCACGTACAACTGTGAGACCATTTAATATCCAACCAGCGACCAATAATATATAATAGTACAAGAAGTATAACAACAGCACCAATTAAAATCAATATAAATTCCCAATTTTTGTCAATTGAAGATGTTGTTTCCATATCATAAGTATTTCTAAAGAGATTATAGTTCAAGAGTTGTGAAATGAGATAAAATAGAAAAATTCTTTTTAAGCAGATAGTTAATTATAAAACTAAGAGAATATAATATATTGTTAATACCATGATTATATGGATAGCATGATTAAAGTCACAATTTTTAACCGCTATGTACTGTTAGCATCTTGAGGAAAGACACCAGAAAAAAGAAAAACTTTGTGAATAACGGAAAACACTTAAAGAATCAATGTAGAAAATAAACTAAAAATATAATGTCATTTCTTTTCATAATGGTTAGAAAACTGACAGTATAAAATATGAAAAAAGGAAAAGGGATCTTTTTCTTTTAAAGATTTCCGTTGTATTCTTACTATCGATGTAAAACATAAATGAAATTGTGTATGAAAATTTAAAACAGAAATGAAAAGCAGAAAATAAATTTTAATGTTACTATCAAATGACATATCTTTTTTTTGCAGATAATTAATATAAATGAGGAGTTTCTTCATCCCTGAGCAGTATGACAGCTCTTTTAGCAATAACAAGGGCTATCCTATTTTTATATTGAAACTGTTAGCTATTGACTGCCTGAAGTCTTGTCTTCGAGTGAGAGTGAGGGTGATGTACAGATTTTAATAAGATAAGCTGAAAACTATTCCAAAATTTTATACCAGACAAACAAAAATAGATTTTAGAAGACACGTTCCATTTTTTTGTTTAACATGGCTCTTGTTTTAAACTTTATAATCTTTAGAGTGAATAACTTTTTGAGGTAGAATAATCGAAAGATAGTAATAATCAATAAATCGACAATGTAAATAATGTCAGTATCTTATCATAAGAAAAAATAATGTGATAGTAGATAACAGCGAACTTCTGAATAAAAAGAAAAGATGGTATTGCCCAATTGAACAAGAAAACAGGAAAAAAACCAGTGAGTACTATTGTATAAAGTAGAAGTATGTGTGTATGAATCACATTTCTTGACATTCTACTTCATCATCTTCAAAAAGAAACCAAATATATGTTATTGTCTGTATTTGTTCACAAAGACATACATGAAAGAGAGGAAAGTGATAGTAAATAATAATATAAAAATCCTGCTATAGTTTTATCACTTATTCTCTTCAGTTAGAAGAAAATTCAAAAATATAAATCATCATCATAATGGTAATTAAAGAGTAGTGACATTTTTATCGCAAGAATTACTGTTACTGTTACAGAGTGCCTGTCTTTAAAATAGTCACATTCGTAGGTCGTGTTGTAATTTTTTTTAATTATAAGACATTAAAAATGGTAGCAGAACACGTGTTAAACTTGTAAAAAACATAATTCTGAAGAATCGAGCGTTTAGCTGATAATAGCCTTAAGAGAAAGAAAGAGAGAAACAAAAGATACTAATAAAAAAGAATAAAAAGGTTATAAAAGAAAAATGTTCAGTTCGACGTCTTCCTGTACACTTGCAGAAATGCCAGAGAAGAATTTTCTATGAAGATGTCTCCTCCAAATAGCGAGAACTTGGTTGAAAGATAAAATGTGTTTTTCCCTTTTCCAACAGCTATTTACAATACAGTAATAGTCGATTGCTCATCATATTCCAGTATTTATAAAATTTGAGTGCGCTCAATTGCCATCGATATTTTCCATGATGCAAACATTTTATTGCCTTAACGATGTAGTGTGGCCCGATGTTCTGCTATGAACGATGACCACTATGCAGTGCCGTGGCGACAAAAAAAGCAGGTGTAATGTACAACACACCTATCGCCACGTGGCTACTGTACCACTATGCAGGTATATTACAATACCTTATAACGCTTCTTAATCATCACGACAATCTTCTAATACTGGCAATGAAAACTATTGTTTCATGGTACAAAACAGATAGTCTGTTTTCTCATTTGTTCTCAATCACGGTAAATAAAAAAAGTATAAAGAAAAGGGTGTCCTCTCAGTTCGTCTCAAATTGACTTCTCAATTCGTCCCACGAAGCTTTTTTCTCAGTTCGTCCCACCAACACTTCTCTCTCAGTTTGTCCCATATACTTTTTTCTCAATTCGTCCCAAATATCTGTGCTCGCGCCTCAAAATAAATAAAGTGTTGTACCATCAAACAGTTTAGCCGACGGCGATGGTATTCATGATACTATGTGCATATTCTTTGACTACATGGAAAAATTCCATTGTCTACACGAAAATATTGAGACATTTAATCGAATATACTAAAAAGTTGAATATTGAAATGAATCCACAGCGCCTGACCTGCGATTTCGTACAAACTACAATAAATTCTTTTGTCGATATTTTTCCACATATCAAAATCAATGAAAGTTTCTTCCATTATGTTCAATCGTTGTCGAGAAAAATCCAGGAAGTCGATATGATGCGTCATTTTGAAAAAATAAATGACAATAATAGTGTAATACCGGAGATGTAACTTAGTCCATTATTTAGTCGTACAACCCTCGAGAATCCAATACCTCGAAAAGCATCTTTATGTTCTTGTTTTCGCTATTCAGCTCTCGTTGTTAACTGTTTATACACCCACAACAGTCATATATAGCACCGTACGCAAGAGGTACGGACAATTATATTAAAGCTAATTAAGTGTAAACTAATATGGGACGAACTGAGAAAAATAGTTCTAAGACGAATTAGGGTAGGTCCTTCCGCAGAGGTCCGCCCACTATTACATTCATTATTAGACGCGAAAATTCCACTTTGCCCATCGTGTAGAGCATCAACAATAATCCAAAGATCTCGCTTACGCTTTTTTTTGAAAAAACGTGTGGA